TGGCGCTGGGCTGGCCCCTGCCGTTTTTTCCAACCCACAAGGTGTTCAAAGCACCTCGTGCTATCTGTTGTGGTTTGTATTGTACACACAAACCCTGCTGCTTATGGGGATGGGCCCCGTTGTCCGGCCGTGCCTGTCCTGATGCCATCCCCCTGATCGCTACACACACACACACACACACTGCAGCAACCGCTTGTGGCAGCTGGTTTGGGTGCTGGGGCAGCTTATTTCCACCGGGTCGTCCAGGCATTCAAAGGCGCAATCCAGGCAACGTTCAAACGTGAATGCGTAGCTGCATTTCAGAGTACTGTACTGCACTTTGAACGCATTACAGCCGGTTCCAACCTCGCATCCAAGAGCTTGCGCGACCAAACTTTGGCTGCGAGAATTCCCTGGCAGACAGGCGCACAGGGGCGGCGGGCAATGGTTCAAGCACCTACAACCCCTGCCTTGAGAAAAGCTCCATACACGCACATGAGGCGAGGGTCGCACCATCAAACCCTTGCTGTCAGAGACAAAGAGCAGGACAAGCACATGGGCCCAAACAAAGCTGACACGCCATTGGTGCAGTACCGCGTTGATTGGATACCTGCAGTCAGGGAGATGTGAAACAGAAATCCAGCTGATTCCTCTTCATATGAGCAGGTTGCTGGCGTTGGCCAGTGGTCTGCATTGACATCGACACCACACCAGCAGGAGAGCCACTTGAGTCACAGCCGATGCCCAGTCATTCCTTTTCGTTGGGACCCATGCCGAGCGTGTGAAAGTCGGTGTACGTTCTGCTAATGCAGACCGTGGAGTGCTGATTCAGCGAGATCAGAGCGAGTGTCATTGCGAGGACTCGTGCTCCTCATTACCAGGAGCGTTGGTTCCACACCACCCGGATCCGTATCATGTGCTGTTTTATGTATTCAAGTGACTAACTGCAGTGTTTATGATAGCCTGCTCGGGGGGCCAAGAGCGCAGCAGGAGCAGCAGCTGACCACAGCACGCACTGTCGGCGTCGGCGCACAAATGGCGGACGGCGACGGCGACGACGAGCTGGCCATGGAGATGGAGGCACTTAGCTACACCTACCCTGAAATAGAGATTGAGGTGTTTGAGCCCAGCAACAGCGCATGCACGGAAGCCGGCCCCGCCGCCGCCGCGGCTGTGCGCATCGACCTCCGCCCGCGCGCCGCGCGCCAAGCGTTTGTCGCCGCCGCGCTGCGCCTCACGGCGCCGCGCGGCTACCCGGCGGCTTCTCCCCCTATCATCGAGCTCCGGGAGCCGCGGGGCCTCGGGGACGCGCGGGAGGCGGCGCTGCTGGCGCGGCTGGCGGCAGAGGCGCGGGACCTCATTGGTAGCCCCTGCCTGGGCCAGCTCATCGAGCTCTGCCAAGACCTGCTGTCCGACGCCAACGCCCCTGAAGGTGCGCATGCGTGGGTGACGTCATCATCTGCCGTCGCACGCCCGCGCCCGCCATCCCTCTGCGGCTGCTCGCGCTGGCGGAGACATCCCGATGGCTGTCTAAAAGCAGTGGTCGACGCCTGATTGCGGTTCCGCCAACTGTTGTCTCAACGTCAAGGGAATGAACCACCTTGCTGCCACGCAGGGCCCTGCGCGATCTGCCTTTCTGTAATGGAGCCCGGCCCGGACGACCCTGAGGAGAGCAGCAACCGCGACGGCTGCACTGTCGCGGCCCCGCCGGCGCTGGCGCGTCTGCCGTGCTACCATACATTCCACACGTGAGCCAACTTTTGCGACCGGCGTATCAAAGACGTGGTAGACACTTCTTGCTGTCTCAATTTGTTGGTTGGAACGACTAGCATTTCGCAGCGGCCGGCACCCTCAACCTGTGCTGCAGCTGCCCAAATCGTTGGACGTGTCCCCGCATCTCATCTGGTGAGATTTCCGCCGGCCGCGGCGCAGGCCGTGCTTCGAGCGCTGGTGGGCGTTCGAGCAGGCGTCGTGCGCGGCGCAGCAGCGCGAGCTGGCGGCGCGCACGGGGGCGACGGCGGCGGCAGCGCTGGCGCAGGTGCGCGGGCGGGCGCGACATGCGGGCCCGGGCGGCATGACTGACTTGCGTCACTTGTTGCAGACAAAGCATTCTATTCAGTATAGTGTATATATGACACTGCAGACATGCAGTCACGTCATGCCGGATCGCAAGCGGCACCCTCGCCTCCTCTTGGTTGGCCAGGCCGCGCGGCCCAATCCTCCTTCCTAATCACCTACCCAACGCTGACGCCGCCGCTGCCCCGCGCGGCCCCGCAGAAGGTGCTGCCCTCACGGGACGCCGGCGGCTGCTTCCTCCTGTCCTGCCCCGTCTGCCGCGCCGCCTTCCAGCCGAGCGACCTGGACGCCTCCTTCGAGCCGCGGCTGCGCGCGGCCGCCCACAGCGGCGCAGGCGCAGCAGCAGGCGCCCGGCCGGCGCCTAGCAGCGGCGGCGGCGGCGGCAGGCTCACCGGGGCGCAGCTGGCCGCGTTTGGGGGCGTGAGCAGGCGCCACGCAGAACTTTTTGAGGCGCAGCGGCGGAGAGGGGGGATCATTGAGGAGGTGAACCTGTCTATCACAGGATGGGACGCGGCGGCGGCGGCGGCAGCGGCAGCGGCAGCTGCAGCTGAGGGTGCAGCGGTGGTCTCCGCAGCGAAAGGAGAAGGGGCTGACGCGTCCGCGGCCGCAGGCGGCGGGCGGGGGCGCGCGGGGCCGGAGGCGCACAGGGGCCGGGGCCGCGGGCGCGGCGGGGGCGCGGG